AGAAGATATTCTACATAAACCAAACCCGTGGGAATACATTGTTAACAAGTAAATGTTTATTTTTTAAATATCACGCATACCCTTTTCTTGGAGGGAGCTGAATTCNTTTAGACCGGATCAGAGAGGAATGGGTTTTATCTTCTGCTTAAAATGCATAATGCTAATGCCTTGTGTTTTTTGATAAGAATGGACAAAATAAAAGTATACGTTAAAATATCTTTTCATTTACCAACATTGTATAGCAGTGAGTAGCCTGCGCGGATTTAAAATGATTTAAATTTTTAACTACTATAACTAATCAAGTAAATCTGCTTTTTAAAGTACATTTGCAAGAGGTCATTGTGTTCGTAGGTTACACAGGAGGCGTAAAAAAAGACATGAAGTTTATAGTTTGTTTACAAGATATTACAGCGGATTCAGGATAATCTAGAACTAAAGTTAGCTTCATAACTATTATAATAATGATTAAATAACCTTTTCCCGTAGGATAACTAGACATTATTTTTGTGATTCAGGGAGCACGGTTTGGTTTGGTGCAACGTATTCAAGTCGTCCTCCTCTTCCTGGATGTATATTTTCAATATTCTCGCGGGATACTCATCGTCTTTTCTTTCAAAGTAGGAAATCGATTATCTATTGATTAATAAAAAGAATAATTAATGTTAAAAAAAATGTCAGTTTTATTGTGTGAGATTAATTATATAAATCTAATATTTTATATTTTATATTTTAGAACGAAACAAGTTCCTTTGCAGTTTTATTGTGTGAGATTAATTATATAAATCTAATATTTTATATTTTATGTTTTAGAACGAAACAAGTTCCTTTGCAGTTAGCTCGAAACAAGTAAGATGTGTTTTTAAAACCAACAAATTATATATATAAAAACCATTAAATAATAAGTGCAAATCTTCACCAAATCTGTTAAAATATTTCAACTCTTAATTGTTTCACACTCTTTCAGCATTTTCTCTTCGATGAAACATTAATAATTTTTTAGGCAGATTTACAATTTTTTTTGGGAATTTTCAAAATTTTACGAAAATCTACAATTTTTGTAATTCTGAGCATCTATAAACCTTCCCCGGGGTCATGTGACGTCCCACATAAAGTTTGGGCCCGATCGGTTTAGCCGTCTTGACGTTTATTGGACACAAACGGACAGACACTGAAACAAACAGACAAGCAAAGCATATATATAGAAACAGTTCGAATATCTTATAAACTTTTTTCCAACAGGGTGTCCCACGAAACATGACAGTTGGTGAATAGTTTAAAATGTCTACTTCCATAATATGTCAAGTTGTTTGTTACCAAAGAGAATAATAATAAATATTTTATTGCATCCATATTATAGTAAAATTGATTTCTAAGTGAAATATATTTGAGTAAAGTTTTTTTTTAGCAAAATAAACTGCAAAAAGTCTTTAATATCTAATACAGTATATGGAAGAAGACTTTCAAAACTATTCACCAACTGTCATGTTTCGTGGGACACCCTGTATGTACCGACCAAATATTTTTGCATTTGGCTCACTTTAGTTCAAGTTCAATATTATTCCACCTAAAACATGAACACTGCACAACAAATTTACAGTGTTTTTTGAAACAACCATAATCCCGTTTTTAACTCACCCTTTTTTTTAAAACTGAAGTTGGTAATAAAACATTAGCCCTTGTAACAATATGTGTTAAAACTTCTATTTTTAAATTTTGATTCTTTGTTTTAAAAGAAGTTAAATGTTAACAATAAAAACAATTGTTTTAACCAAAACATTTAAAACATTTTCCATTTAGTTCCAGTCAATAAAAAACTAATCTTCTAAGTTTCCGGGGTTTTAAATCTATATTTGAGCTCTAGGATTTTAAATTTATATTTGAGCTCTCGGATTTTAAAATCTATATTTGAGCTCTCGGATTTTAAAATCTCTATTTGAGCTCTCGGATTTTAAAATCTATATTTGAGCTCTCGGATTTTAAAATATATAGTTGAGCTCTCGGATTTTAAAATCTATATTTGAGCTCTCGAATTTTAAAATCTATATTTGAGATCTCGGATTTTAAAATCTATATTTGAGATCTCGGATTTTAAAATATATATTTGAGCTCTCGGATTTTAAAATATATATTTGAGATCTCGGATTTTAAAATCTATATTTGAGCTCTCGGATTTTAAAATCTATATTTGAGATCTCGGATTTTAAAATCTATATTTGAGCTCTCGAATTATAAAATATATATTTGAGATCTCGGATTTTAAAATCTATCAGCATATTTTTGCAACCCGATGTCGTAATCTTTGATATTTCAAACAATGAAATAAATTCTGTCAGATCAAGAAGTCTGTAATAAGATTGAAATATCTAAGGTTTGCATCATCAGGTTTGCACATCTATAGGGATTAAAAAAGTTGAGCTTATGGCTAAAAATAAATTCCTCATTATGGTTTATTTCTAGCTCAAATATTTATGAAGGTATAATAAGAATGATTTTTATCTAGATATGGCCGACCCATGTTAACAGATCTCCAGAATACTTTAAAGAAACCGGACACAGTCTCATTTCTAGTTGGCAGGTACAGTGGTATCCATTAAGAATAAGACTCTAAAGACGATTTTTTTGTAGATTTGTATCCGACATTATCATTTTTATGAATTTCTTTAGCTCTGCAGTTATTTCTTAACTTTTCCATATTAAAATTCCTATTTTTTGGAAATTGAAAGAATTAAATTTTAAGTTCAGGTCTTTTTTTGCAGATAGCCCATATTCAGAGAGTTTCAAAATTAGGCTTGAAACAACATCATTCATCCTTTCATAAATTCGTCTGTTATACCTGACATTCATTAATTCACCAATTCACCCTTTCACCGAGTCTTTGATTCACCATTCGTCTCTAATCCCTTTTTTTATTTAATCATCCAGTTTTTATTCATCCTGCCTTTTATTTATTCTGTCTTTGATTCATCCTGTCTTTGATTCATCCTGTCTTTGATTCATCCTGTCTTTGATTCATCCTGCCTTTGAAACATCCTGCCTTTGATTCATCCTGGCTTTGATTCATTCTGTCTTTGATTCATCCTGTCTTTGATTCATCCTGCCTTTTATTTATTCTGTCTTTGATTCATCCTGTCTTTGATTCATCATATCTTTGATTCATCATGTCTTTGATTTATCTTGTCCATGATTATTATTATTATTATTATTATTATTATTATTATTATTATTACTTGTTATGAATTAATTTCAATTACCCGTTCCAGTTGAGAGACTGAAATCTTATTTTAGAAATCCATTCGAGAGATTAGTCTCAGCCTACAGGGACAAAATAGAGGTAATTCTTGATTTAATAATATTCAATTCTTTTCATGAAAAAATAATTGATAGTTAATTATATTCAATAGATTATTTTTTTATCCTTATTATAGAATGAACGATAGTCCTTAACTTTTGAATGTTACTTTTATAACCTTAATTTGGACTCAACAGTACTCATTAAAAGTTACGGACTGTAAACAAAAACTATCTCTGACCTATCTGTATTCTAATTTCATTAAAAAAATATTTAATGTTTATTATTATCTAGAATGCTATTAGTAAGAGTCTCCATGATAAGATGAGAAGAAAAATAACTGAGACTTACAGGAAACATTTTGAAATAAATAATTCTAAATAAATTAATTAGATTTTTAGTCAACAGACGAAGTCTGTAGTTCTGAAGATAAATTAAAAAAGGAATTATAATAATGTATTGGGAGTGCTAGGAACAGGTTTTATCAAAAAAAATGTTGACCCTCGTACGAAATGTTGGTACCAAAGGTTGACACTCGTACCAAAGTTGACACTCTTACCAAAAGTTGACACTCGTACCAAAGTTGACACTTGTACCAAAACTTGACACTCGTACCAAAGTTGACACTTGTACCAAAGTTGATACTCGTACCAACGTTTACACTCGTACCAAAGTTGACACTCGTACCAAAGTTGACACTAGTACCAAATGTTGACACTCGTACCAAAGTAGACACTCTTACCAAAAGTTGACACTCTTACCAAAGTTGACACTCTTACCAAAAGTTGACACTCGTACCAAAGTTGACACTCGTACCAAAGTTGACACTCTTACCAAAAGTTGAAACCCGTACCAAAGTTGACACTTTTACCAAAGTTGACACTTGTACCAAAGTTGACACTTGTACCAAATGTTGACCCTCGTACCAAAAGTTGACAATCGTACCAAAGTTGACACTCTTACCAAAAGTTGACACTCGTACCAAAGTTGACACTCTTACCAAAAGTTGACACCCGTACCAAAGTTGACACTCGTACCAAAGTTGACACTCGTACCAAAGTTGACACCTGTACCAAAGTTGACACTCGTACCAAAGTTGACACTCTTACCAAAGTTGACACTTTATCAAATATTGACACTAGTACCAAAAGTTGACACTCGTACCAAAGTTAACACTTGTATCAAAAGTTGACACTCGTACTAAATATTGACACTAGTACCAAAAGTTGACACTCGTAGCAAAGTTAACACTTGTATCAAATGTTGACACTTTTACCAAAGTTGACACTCGTACCAAAGTTGACACTCGTACCAATGTTGACACTTGTACCAAATGTTGACACTAGTCCCAATGTTGACACTTGTACCAAAACAATAAAACATAACTATATCAAAACAATAAAAAAGTTACTGTACGTACGCGTAATGGGGAGTGATAGGAACAGGTTTTATCAAAACAGTAACAAATTTACCGTACGTATTGGGGAGTGTTAGAAACAGGTTTTAATAAAACATCAACTTTACTGTACGTATTGGGGAGTGCTAGGAACAGGTTTTAATAAAACATTAACTAACTGTTGTGTCCATGNCTTCTATTTAACAACGACAACTTCTATTTAACAACGACAACTTCTATTTAACAACGACAACTTCTATTTAACAACGACAACTTCTATTTAACAACGACAACTTCTATTTAACAACGACAACTTCTATTTTAATAAAAATGATTGTTAAGAGTTTCATGAGTCCTTTGCCCTGGGCGGAGTGCCCTGCGATGAATGACACGAGTATTCCAGAAATCAACAGATTGGAATGTCAGGTAAAATAAGTATATATTCCACCCCCAACTAAATACTTGCCACAAACTCTATTTTTAAAATAGTTTTTTTTTCTAGATTAAAAATAAAATTCAGATTATCAGATTAAAAAGTTTGATTTCAAAGGTTTACAGTATCCGGTTGTAAAGGTATCGGTAATGGAAAATTAGAGTTTGTGGCGACTATTCAGTTCTGAACATCTCGACAACATTTATTAAAAAAAATAAACATTATTTTTTTCAGATTGCAGGACCGACAGGTCAGTGATCAAACATTTTATTTAGTTTATTCATTGTTTTTTATCCGATATTTTAATTATAAAGAAATTTTCTTGAAATTTTATTTAATACTTAAGAGTTTTTCCATGAATCACTTTCTTATTACTTTATCTTTAAACAGAATTCTCTTTCTATAATTAATCTTTTTAATTGAGGTTTCTTTGAATTATCTATTTTATCAAATTGTTAATTTTATTTAATCTGAAATTTGTATTTTCAATTGTCTGAAGATGCATAAGTTTTAGTCAAAAGAATTATTTATTTTAAATAAATAATTAGAAGCGCATTTTCTAAAATTACATTATAATTTTATATTTCTCCAGACGCTTATTAAGCTGTATAGTGTATAAAGTTTCGAAATTCCATCTCTTATGTCCTAAACATGTTAAGACGTAATTACAAGTTTAAACAAAAATTGCTGCATTTATTTATTTTAAAAAAGAAAACGACAAGATCTCTCCAAGTTTTTAAAATTTTGCCATGCTTATAATTCAGTGGTCATCATGATACCACACAGTAAACCCTGGTCTGAGCCTGCGATTTAAAATCGTACGGACGCGGTTGTATTCCTTAGACCCAGGTTTAAGGCTTTATCTTAGACCCATCTTATAAATCAACGGAAGGTAGCTTATGCCAAGTGATTGACAGCTACCAGACCTTAGGCCTAACTTTCAGTGTTAGGCCTGATTAAAATATAACCGACCTTAGTTGGTGTTTGTAGAAAATTAGTTTCAATGTTGAGGATATTGAGTCTTACTCTTTTTCTAGCCAATTTCCGAAATCCGCCAATTCTGACCAATGAACAGTATACAAAAACGGCCAACTCAGATGTACGCAAATTGTGTACCGTAAACTGTGGGAGGAATGTAAACAAACCCAGTGCCCCCACAGAAAGGACTAAAGCTCTGATGTGATATTACAGTTCAACAAAAAACAAGTTAATATATCAAGTTAGAGCAAATATTTTTTTTTGATTTTTGACTTTCTGGTCAATATGGAAAACGCGAGTGAGATATGAAATTTAAAAAAAATATGATAATGTTTGTTCAGCCTACTTCTGGTATAGAGATACCCTGGAAATATCAGCTGATCTGGAGTCACCGGATCAATTCAATTTTATTGTTGCTATTTGCCTCATCTCAAGGTAGGATATATATTAAAGGGATTTTGGACGTAATTTTAAGTTTTTCATATTCGATTCACACTGGTAACCTAGTTTTCTATCTAGAAAATTATAGTTTGTAGTTGCGGACTCATAAGCAGAGACAAAACAGGAAACTGAGGAAATTTAAACTATTTAGGACTGAAAAACGACGACATTTTCCTGATTTAGGGTCGCTTGAAATATAGTCGACAGTCTCTTTAAGAAAAAGAAGAAGAAAGTCTAATCATATTTTTTAAACTTAATTTGTATATTTAGTTGGTTGATGCTGTACCTGGCAATGATCAAGGGTATAACAGAAAGCCCTAAAGTTGTTTATGTAAGTTAGATTTTAAATCGTTTTACCGTAAAAATGTGCATCTTAATTGTTACTTAAAAAAGGAAAAAAAAACAATATGGTTTAAAAATTCCCGGCTCTAAAACTCTAGCTATTTTTATGGACATTTGTTTTTTTTTTCTCAAACACTCTGCACATGCTCTGTAAGTTAATTACTTTATGTGTCATAAGTAATAAACATCATCAGTTTTGAGCATTTCAGTATTATAGCTCTTTATCAAATTTTATGGATTACGGAAACTACTTTTTTAGGCGAAATCATCTGTAAAGTAACTTTTTAAAACATAATTCAAAATCTATATTCCATGCAATATATAACATTTATATTTAATCTTTTATTCATGGATGATAAAATACTGATTGGGATTAATCGATTTTTTTATATCTTTAGATAAAATCATTCATGTCAACTTTTTCTTTGATAAATTCTACTATATCCACTCCAACGGACAATAATTCCTAAAGAAGCAAAAATATTTCAAAACAAATTCTCAATACATTAACGAACGTAAAGAGCCATTTATTAAAAAAGGATCAGAAAAAATGGGAAAAAAATGGAAAATTCAAAATCATTTTTACCTCCATTTTCATCTTCTCTTTTTAGATCTTTTGATCTTCTCTTGATCTTTATTTTCATGTTCTGTATTTAGATCATCTTGATCTTCGTGGTCTATATTAAGATCATCTTGATCTTCATGTTTTATATTAAGATCATCTTGATATTTATGTTATATATTTAAATCATCTTGATCTTCATGTTCTGTATTTAGATCATCTTGATCTTCATGTTCTGTATTAATCTTAGATCACCTCCATCTTCCCCTACCTCGTCCTTGTTATATTCTTCTGCCGAGCTGTAACTCTGCCAGGGATGGGAGACGGGATTCTTCATCTCTTTACTCCGAAGGTCAAATTTTTTACTTTTTAAATTGCTTAAAAGTTTATTGATAATTGGCAAATTACAGTTCGTCCAAAAACATAAAAAATAAAAATTATGAAATATTATTTTTACAGCTGTAAAATCAATTAAATCAATTTTTTATTCAGTTTTGAATATTGCTTTATGAGGTTTTTACATTGAACTGACTTTGTATATTGTTAGTTTTCTCTGCTCCTGGATCCAATGGTCTGGTTAGAGGCTGGGACTCAAATATTCTTCTCACTTGGCCTTTCCTTCGGTAGCTTGATAGCTTACAGTTCCTACAATCCAGTAGATAGCAACTGTATGAGGTAAACTACTAGCTTACAGTTCCTAAGTCCAGTAGATAGCAACTGTATGAGGTAAACTACTAGCTTACAGTTCCTACAGTGCAGTAGATAGCAATTGTATGAGGTAAACTACTAGCTTTCAGTTCCTAAAATCCAGTAGATAGCAATTGTATGAAGTAAACTACTAGCTTACAGTTCCTACAATTCAGTAGATAGCAACTGTATGAGGTAAACTACTGGCTTACAGTTCCTAAGTCCAGTAGGTAACAACTGTATGAGGTAAACTACTATCTTACAGTTCCTACAATCCAGTAGATAGCAACTGTATGAGGTAAACTACTAGCTTTCAGTTCCTAAAATCCAGTAGATAGCAACTGTATGAGGTAAACTACTATCTTACAGTTCCTACAATCCAGTAGATAGCAACTGTATGAGGTAAACTACTAGCTTACAGTTCCTACAATTCAGTAGATAGCAACTTTATGAGGTAATTAACTACTAGCTTACACTGCAATTATTGCTTATAGTTCAGTAAATAAGAAACTGTATGCTTACTTGCAAACTGATTGCCTTACCATTCTTACAATTTGATTGACAATTAATTAGGTCACAAAGTTGTAGGTTAACCAGCTAAAATGAAGAAGGAGTAAAATAATAATCAAATCGATTATCATTAATGCTTTTTGCTTTAGAAATAATCATAATGTTACTTCATAACTAGGTTGCTTGACTTAATTTATATTTAAATACCTTGTTTGTTTAGAGATGCTCTTATTGTGGCGATTACCAACTGTTTCACTTCGATTTTTGCCGCTATCATCATCTTCGCTATTCTTGGATTTAAGGTATAAATATCATCACCATTATCATGATCATCATTATCATCATCATAATTTGATCAAAACTATCTTTATGTTGTAAACTTGTATAATCCAGACTTTAATGTAAGATATAAAATCCACTTATATCCAGGATCCATTACTAAAATCAAATTGAAGCAGAGAGAACTAAAAAGTCTATTTGTATAGAGTTTATTCTATTTCAGGCTCACAAATCTCTTGAGCATTGTTTGGCTACACGTGCTGAAATCCTCGAAGACATTGGCGGCACTGAATCAGCTGTTGAGCCGGCAGAATCAGCTGATAGCATGTTTACCTGGGCAGTAGTTGACGGAGATAACGTCACGGTGCCAATCTGTGATCTACAGAGGGAATTAGACAAGGTAAGAAGTAAAACAAGGCATGTCCAACTCACAAGGGATCCTTTTAATTCCTTATCTGTACAGTACAAACGTCGGAAAGTACAAACGTCGGACTGGTACAAACGTCGGACCAGTACAAACGTCGGACAGGTACATTTATAAGGAAAAACGTCGGACCAAGGAGGAAAAAATATATTTGAATTTTCAGATTGAAATTCTTGTAAATTCGCAATTTTATCTCAAAAAAATTCCCATTTTTTTTGTTAAAAATTCACAATCTCACAAAGTCTGGATACATGGACGAGGAGACTGCTAACTATATTGAGGTCAAGCAGGGGGGACGGCACCTGCTTGATTCAAATCAGTTTGAATACAGGGTTACAAAGAAGAAACCCAACAAAACCTATTACCAATGCATTCAAAGGAAAAACAATTCTTGTCCTGCAGGAGCAGTTGTAAACAATGAGAATGACAAGATTATAAGTTTCCTGGGAGAGCATTCACATGACAGTGATCTTTTGAAGAAAAGAGTACGTGAAATAGAAAAACAAGTAGTTAAAGAAAGCTCTGGAAATATAGCAATAAGTCCACGAACTGTTCTTGGAAACATGACCAACATGGTAAGCACACTTACCAACGAAGGGGTGAGTGCCATAAGGAAGTCAAATACCTTAGTACAGGCAGTCAAGAGAGCAAGAGTAGAACATTTTGGGTTTACCAAGGTCCCCAAAAGCTGGAATGATATGTCTGTAGCTCAACATCTTGAGACAACAATCCGTGGAGACAGATTTCTGGCAATCAATGAGCATCTTGGAGATGAGAACTCTGAGAGAATCATCATATTTTGCAGCAGTGAGCAACATAACGTTCTTAAGTCGGCAAAATACTGGGTGGCTGATGGTACTTTTGATGTTGTGAAGAAAACCTTGTTATATCAATTGTTTATTATCACTGCTGTCACAGCTACTGGTATCACTGTACCCTGTTGTTTTGCACTCCTTCCAAACAAGGAAACCTCAAGCTACCAAAGAGTCTTCCAGTAGTTTAAAGATGCAAATGTAACCCCACCAGGCAGGGTGAAGACAGATTTTGAGAAGGCAATCATGCGAGGATTCCTGAACTGTTATCCCGACGTGCCTGTTAGGGCTGGGCACGTTCCGACTTTTTTGAAATCGTTCCATTCCGTTCTGGAACGAGGGCCTTCAGCTAAATCGTTCCGTTCTCGTTCCTTTTTTATTTAATCGTTCCGTTCTTGTTCCGTTCCGTCCCATTCCGTTCCGTTCTGAGTAGAAGAACGGACTTCCCGTTCCGTTCCGTTCTTGGCGTTCTTATTTAAAGAACGGTTCCATCCCTCTCGTTCCGTTCTTAGTCAAAGAACTTTAGTACACCTGCAGTATGGAAACAGTACAACAAAATGGCCGTTTTGCACTTTTTTTCTAGTAAATTCCTCTCTATATATTATATTCTCTATGGCTGTGACACCCATTTTAAGAGAGCCATTAGGAGGAAACTGATTTCAACTGAGCTTGGATTAGGAAGTTTGTACCAGAATGTAGACTTCCAAACTCTGGTTCGCTATCTTTGGGCTCTTTCTTTAGTTCCAGAAGAGGATATTGTTAGAACCTGGGAAGATGTGATCAGTTCTCGTTATGACGAACTGAAACCAAGCTTTGAAGACAATTCTGATCAGGTTGATTTATTCTTAGAGTACTTTGAGAAGACATGGATAGGAGCACTCAACTGGAGAACAGGAGCCAGGAGGAATCCAATATTGCAGTTTGGAACAAGTATGGGACAATTCTCTCAGATGACCCATTGACCAGTAATGCTGCAGAGGGGTTCAATGCTGCCTTTGCTTTATCTTTGCCCAATAATGCCAGCATTTGGGCTTTGATCCAGCAGTTGAGAACAGAGGAAAACTCCAATGATAGAAAGATGAGAGATGTTCTTTAGGGACCACAGAATAATGTAGCAACAGCCACAACCAGTCGCAACCTAGGAAGAGATCAAAGAAGAATAGATTTAAAAAGCCTATGAAAAGAAAGTATCCATAAAACAGTACATGACTGTCATCGTTGATTATTATAACAACTAGAAGAAAGGAGGAGAGACTTTTTGTAAAGTTACGTAATTTCTTATCAATGCAATTGTTTTAAATTGTTTCCTTATTTATATGCATATAAATATATATATATTCCCGAGTTCATTAAACTTAGTTAACATTTAGAAGGTCTACAACATCAGGTTGCAAAGATATAGCGTTTAAACTGTATGATCTTGTAGAATTTATAGTTTGAAATATCTAAGGTCTACAACAGCGGGTTGCAAAGATATAGGGATTAAACTGTATGATCAAGTAGAATTCATAGTTTGAAATTTTTTAAACAATGGTCCATTCAAAATCTACCAAGTCCGACGTTTTTTCTTATAAATGTAACCGTCCGACGTTTGTACTGGTCCGACGTTTGTACCAGACCGACGTTTGTACTAGTCCGACATTTGTACTGGTCCGTTTGTACTGGTCCGACGTTTGTGCGTCCGACGTTTGTACTGTCCGACGTTTGTGGCGTCCGACGTTTGTGCGTCCGACGTTTGTACTGGTACCAAAAATGTATTGTCTTTTCATAAAGGGTTTAATTTTCACAACTGCTTCATTTTTTCAGAAATCTACAAGTCTCAACCTTCATTCATTCTTGAACCAATAAAGCTTTTAAGCGTAGTGTTGTGAATCGGAACTGCAACTCTTCAGGGTCTCCTAAAAGAATTCTAAAAACGGAAACTGTATTTTTTTCTCTTAAAATCTCGTACATATTTATTAATGCTTGTTTTCTGTTTTGTTTAGTCTGCAAGTGGTACTGGATTGGCTTTCATACTGTTCACAGGTTAATTTTACGTTGTTTTGTAACACCTGTCAGATAAAAGAAATATGACGTAATGTAAAATGTTTGAAATATGTTTGAAATATTATAATTTGAGAAAAAAAACAGATTCACCGACAAAGGGTCAAACGACCCAGGGTCAAACGACAAAGGGTCAAACGACATAATTGCCCTTTTGTCGCATTTTTTGACTCTTTGTCGTTTGACCCTTTGTCGCGTTTTTGACCCCTTGTCGTTTGACCCTGTGTCGTTTGACCCTGTGTCGTTTGACCCTTTGTCGTTTGACCCTGGGTCGTTTGACCCTGGGTCGTTTGACCCTTTGTCGGTGAATCAAAAAACAATAAGATCTATGAAACTGTGGAATACGAAGACGACTGTTAAACGCAACTTTTGATTTAAAACTTTTTTTAACAATTAATTTAATTTTTTTTAAACAATTGATTCAATTTTTAAATTGAAAAATATTTAATAAAAACATTTTTAGATGCAGTGAATCAGTTCCCATACTCTAACGTCTGGGCAGTCCTTTTCTTCTGCATGGTACGGTTTAAAAACTTTAAAATAAACAAACCTAACATTGGATCTTTATCCAAAAATTTAATTTTGGGAAGAAAGTAGCAAACTTACATTTTCTTTTTTTCTTTTCCCTCTCGAGCACCGAAAACCCCCTCCCCCTCTCTTAAAATAACACACCTCTAAATGGCAGGATCCATTTATTAAAAGAAACAAAACTTTTTTCAATAAATTTTAGATAAATGTAACAAGGCTTTAAAGGGACTTCTTTTGGATTCATTTGAGACATATTAAACTTTTTAAAGATCTGTAAATCATGAGTTTGAGCGCTAATTCGACGTTCAAAACTCCTACTTTGGGGGTGGATACGTTTTCAGAATTAGTTTTTTAAAAAAAATTATTATCAGGATTTACAGATCTTTAAAAAGTTTAATATGTCTCAAATGAATCCGAAAGAAGTTTTCCACAACACTGCATACTCAGTTCGACTACCTTACATAGCCGGTCACTCCCTTTAAAAACACAGTCCCATCTTATTTGTTTTCAAAAATTCTTATTTGATTGACATAGATTCAGGCGGCTAAGAAAAGTTGCATTGATATTCATGACTGGGTCGACATTGATTTTACATTTCTACATTTTAGTAGCCAGGGGCAAGCAAACAAACACCCATACATTTTTACATACCTAATCTATATGTCTTACTCAATATTTCCATTTCTGTAAAAATACAAATATAAAAACTAGAAATGATGGAATAATGCTGATATACATACTTAATTTTTCAGTCGAAAAAAAATGAAAATATTATATTTTTGAGAAAATAAGTGGGGCCCACGAAACTATGGAATAGAAAGACGACGATGATTTTAAAAATGAAACACAGGAAATGTTCTGTGTGCATCGACCGATTTCCATTAAAAAGTTAATTTTCAATCTACTTGTAAAATGGTTTGCTTTGTACAACATCTGATTAACACAAGATCGGTAAAATGTCGTCTTCCTGTTCCACTAATTTATGTGTGTTATAAGAAACTATGGGCAATATTTAATTTCTGTTGGAAGAGTAATTGCCAGATCAGATGATTGTATTTTGGCAGACTCTCTCTAAGGAATTTGATTTCTCTGATAAAACTTTATATTTTCCTTGTGATTGGTCTCTAGAGTCTAGGCCAAGGTTGTTTATTACGGTTAAATACTCTGATTGAGCTTCAATATACTAGAAATGTCGGCTTTATTGCAATGGACACTCAAAATCCTCATATGACGTCACTAATTATTGGCGGAAGATGAAGTGACAACGTTGTGGTGAGAGGTGGGAGAGGATTTTCTCCACTTTTAACAGCTGACAAGCGGAGAAATTCCTTCCTCCATCTCGCTAGAAACGTTGTCACTTCATCTTCCGCCAATAATTAGTGACGTCGTTTGAGGATTTTGATGGTCCATTACGATGACGACAACATTTGGCGTTCATTGGACCGCATCCAGATTATCTAACCTTAGTAAACAGCCTTGGTCTAGACTCTCTTATATTCTACAAAAAAAAGTAATAATAAATTTTTTGTTTTCAGGAATTATTTGCTTGACCTGCTGTACACTCTCTATGATGTTTGCCCACAGTGCAGGAAAATACAATTTCTTTAAAAGTTTTGATTTTTAAATTTTAAATTTCTTGCAGGGTGTCCCAGGATCCATGTTTTTATAGGGTGATCAGGTGAACAGGGGCGTTAAGTGACGACTCTGAGTGTTTCACTGATCTACCCGATATTTTTGTATATCCCGCTTAACCAACTGAAAAAAAAAATTTATTTTGAGATTTCCAAAATGTGCTCTGTCTTTTATTTTTCAGAATTGCGATTCATTAAATTAAATCAAAATATCTGTTATATTTTTAATGAACATTTAAGGGAAAGCACACTTTAAAAGGTTCAAAAAATGATAAAAAGTAGTATTTTCACTAAATGCTAATGTTTATTGGGACACCCTGTACTATGGAAGTACGCACGAAGAAATATACAATACACTCCCTAAGCTATTTTATAGTGGGAAAAAATCTTACTGCAATGTTCAAATATTTTTAGCCTTTTTTTGTCAACAAAGATATTAGAATTTAAAAATGAGATTAAAGAAAGAATCATTACTTCAAACTTACATAGTTTTTAATCAGGGTTTCCATGCACATTGTACAACAACTTCAGCAGTAAGATTTTGTACAACAACTTCAGCAGTAAGATTTTGCACAATGATTCGAAAAATTTGTATTCTTCTTCTGATATACATAACTACAGAGAAAATAGCATTTTGTCCAACCAAAACGATTTTTGTTGTGGCATGCATATGGACACCCTAATTTTGATTGAGAAAACCTTGTAAATATTATTGTTGATTGTCGGACAGGAAGCTACGTGTTTACAATCTACGACAATTTCAGCGGAAATATTCCTCTTCTCGTCATAGCACTGTTCCAGTGCTTAGGAATATCATACGTCTATGGACTCAATAGGTATCATCTGTATAAAGTTGTAATATCTGTTGTCTGTCTGTTTGTTTGTTTTTTTTGGTTTGTCCGATCATAAATCATGCGCCGTTGACCGATTTGCCTGAAATTTTGATTGGGAAACTCGGGAAAGATACGGGAATGTTCTGTGAGATTCTAAAATGAGTGGGTCGACTTTTCAGTAAAAATTCAGTTTCCCGGTAAAATCGACTAAGTGCGGATAAATGCCGGGAATATATATAAGTACCCTGGGCAACGCTGGGTTCCCAAGCTAGTAAATGATAAAGTAAACGGTATTAAATTGTGAAATAGGAAGACGACCTATAAACAATTTTATGCGTATTCCATGTTGCTATATAGAGTGAAAATAGTTTAAACACTAGCTTGAAAATTAACCTATTAAGTGACATGGGTTGGAGAGACACTTGAGATGACGTCTACAATCCCTTTAATATATTTGTCTAGGTTTTGTGACGATATTGCCTTGAACAGTCCTTTTAAATGTATTCGTCTAGATTTCGTGACGGTATTGCCTTGAACAGTCCCTTGAAATGTATTTGTCTAGGTTTTATGACGATATTACCTTGAGAACAGACCTTTTAATTGTATTTGTCTAGGTTTTGTGACGATATTGTCTTGAACAGTCCCTTTAAATGTTTTTGTCTAGGTTTTGTGACGATATTGCCTTAAACAGTCCCTTTAAATGTATTTGTCTAGGTTTTGTGACGGTATTCCTTAAACAGTCCCTTTAAATGTATTTGTCCAGGTTTTGTGACGATATTGCCCTGATGACCGGCCACCGACCCAACGTGTTCCTCTGTTTCTGTTGGAAGTATATCTCTCCTGCTGTTATGGTCGCTATCCTAGCTGCTTTCTTTGGCAAAATGGTTTTTGGAAAACTTACTTATGAGGTTTATTCATATATTAATATATGTTCTCTATAGTTGGGCAAACGGCTGGACCAAATTGGCTGAAACCCATGGAACCTGAACACCGAAATGTAAAAGAGTATCTTTGAACGAAACTCCCAAGTTTCCTTTTTGAGGTTTTAACATTTGTGTAGATTTTGTTATAAGTATTCGAAAAAAATAAGGATATGAGGAAACTCCATAAAATAATATTTCATAACAAAAATATTAATATCCACAAAACTGCCTAACCCCTTTTGTGAAACCCGGGTTCCAAAACTAGTTTTCATAACGATATAACCTGTATTGGGCAATGCTGTGTACTTCGGATAAAACTGTGAAACTTTAGAAAAATATTAATCTGGGCAACGTCAGGCACACGAGCTAGTCAGTAATAATATTACCATCCAAGTTAAGGGAAATATAAACTGATATAAAACTGATATAAAACTGATGTGAATAAGTCTACAGAGTCAGTATAAAAAAGAACAAATAATGGTTGATCAAGATTAAGTTCATTGAGAGCCTTAATCAGGGACAGCACAAGGGGCAGTCATGGTCAGGGGCAAATAGGGGAATGGGGTAGGGAGGGTAATGGGGCAGAAAGGGGTATGGGGCAGGAAGGGGTATGGGACAAGAAAGGGTAAGGGACAGGAGAGAGNAAGAAAATTAATAAGAAAGAGAATAAGAAAAAGAATAAGAAAGAGAAGGAAAAAATAATGAGAAAGAGAATGAGAAAAAGGATAAGAAAAATGATAGGAAAAAGAATGAGAAAGAGAATAAAAAATAATGAGAAAGAGAATGAGATAGAGCATAAGAAAAATAATGAGAAAGAGAATGAGAAAGAGAATGAGAAAGAAAATGAGAAAGAGAAAGAGAATGAGAAAGAGAAAGAGAATGAGAAAGAGAATGAGAAAGAGAATGAGGAAAATAATGAGAAAGAGAATGAGAAAAAATAATGAGAAAGAGAACGAGAAAAAGAGTGAGAAAGAAAATGAGATAGAGCATAAGAAAAATAATGAGAAAGAGAATAAGAAGGAAAATAAGAAAGAAAATGAGAAAGAGAATGAGAAAAATAATAAGAAAGAAAAAGAAAGAAAATGAGAAAGAGAATGATAAAAAAATGATAAGAAAGAGAATGAGAAAGAAAATAAGAAAGAAAATGAGAAAAAGAATCAGAGAGAATGAGAAAAATAATGAGCAAGAGAATGAGAAAGAAAGTGTGAAAGAGAATAAGAGAAAGACAGAAAAAAACATGAATTCGAGAGCTTAAAGACAAAATCAGAAAGAGAACTAGAGAGAAAAGGAAGTGAATGAATGAGAGATTAAGAGAGAAAGTGATTTAGAAAAAGAAAAAGAATAAGAAAGAACAAGAAAAAAGAATGCTGTAGAGAGAACAAAAAAGATATAAAAAGATAGAACAAGAAAGAAAAGAGAGAATGAAATATAAGAATAAAATAGTTTTCCGCGAACTCTGAGTTGTCAGAAACAGAAACCAACCTAATAAATATTTCAAACAAAAACCAATATTCCCTGTCAGTGTCACCCTGTAAATTGTTCCTTCAAAGAAACTGTTCAGTTTATTTAAATTACTGGGCCAGGTACCCACAAAGCATGAGACTGTAAAGACGACCGAAAACTTTTAGAATATGACGATATCAAGGTTAAGTGTTCCGCCTTAGATAAAGTAATATAATATTTTTTTTTAATGATTTGACAAAGAATGAAACAATGTGATTGCATGTCTCATCCTATGTGGGTAACCCTGTTTAAAAAAAGTTTATTTAAACCACGTACTCAGGACCATAAACTGCGCGTATGTTACCGTTTAAAAATGACTCTGAGTATAATTTTGTACAATAATTGCAACATGAAGATCGGACAAAAAAATTTGCAATTCTCTTAGAAACGGCTTCCGAGCAGGATTAATAATTTAAAAAATATTTTGTTTTTTCAATTTTGATCTTGTTCAATTAAAAAATAAACTTTGCTGGACAACTGGTCTCTTCTAACTTATTTTTACCATTTTTGTGTTTAAAAAGGGGTCTAAGCCCCCTAACNACCCCCCCCCCCCCGCCTGTACTTACAACTGGCTAAAAGATAAACTACCAGCCTGTATGTAACTAAAGGATAAAGTACACCCAAGAGAGAGTCTTTTTCTCGCGGTTTAATTCTCTGAAAGCATGATCTTGAATATTTAGTTGATTACTTTCTGAATTGTTTTTATGCAAGGGTCCCTTAATAACGAATACATCGAAAGAATTAATCAAATGTCGTATTCTTCACTTTCTGATAATGGAATGTTGCAGATATTCAGTTTTTTTAATTAAATGATTATATGGAACTCTTTAAAACTGTTCCCGCATATTCATGGCTATTTATTTATTTTCTCAAATACTGAAATGTACGAAATATAGTATGAAACTCATTGAAAAATTGTCAAGATGACATTTAATAAATTCTTCCGATGTATTCGTTATTAAGGGTTTCACTGTATTTAAACAAAGGAGTTGAGTGTCACTTCCCGTTCAAAAGTTGGTGCTCTTTTAGTGCCAAAATTTTGTACCTTTATTCCGAAAACTATTTTTTCAGCGAACCTTTTTGGTGATTACAGTACAGCTTTGGTTAATATGCTAGCTGTGTGCAAAACTTAGAGAAAAAACCATGATATTGATTTCCATGATTTCCAAAACTGGCGGAGTTTATAAAGATTGACCCAGGTCCTGCAGAGGTCGGATTCAAAACGGAACCCTTTAATCCTTGATCTGAGCAAAGAAAATATAGAAAATTGGAGAATTGGTCTCTTTTATACATATACCTTTTTCAATACGAAATACGAATTAAATGTCATTTGAAATTACGAATTAAATGTCTCTTAAAATTACAAATTAAATGTCACTAAAAATTACGAATTAAATGTCACTTGAAATTACTTTTAAATGTCACTTGAAATTATGATTAAATGTCATTTGAAATTACGTCGGCAGTTCTTTTAATTAATATATTAATATTTGTAGGCGTGGGATGTTGCTATTGGGTCTGGTGTGGCTAAAGAATGGCCCTGGTGGGCGTACATCATAATATTCTGCTTAATCGGCATGTCATGTATCTGGATTCCTCTCATTGCTGGACTCAAGTAGGTTTATGCAATACAGTGAGACCTATAAAACTGTGGAATATGAAGACGACTGCTAGCAATAATTTTTAATAGCAAAATTCATTTCACTTTGATTTTTAAGCTATTTTGCTTTTTAACAACTTCAAATGCAGGATTGCTTAGTTGTCGTCTTTCTCAGTTCAATTGTGTTTGTGCATTATGTATGATTCATACATTATACAGTTAATATTGGTGTTTTTGTTGCCAATTATTCTTTCATTTTGATCCTTATTTCGGAAGATATCTATAGCCAGGCATTATAGAAATTAGAATTTGAAGTAATTAATCAGGTTTATTTTGCAATGCAAATATTTTTTGCGTCTCGATCCTCCTCCGGTCCTTATTTAAACTAAAAATGCTTTTCTTTCCTTTATATTTTTCTTTTTTTTAATGAAAATTAAAGATTAATTTATTAAAAAAACGGTTTAATGATTTTGATATTTAGTACCAATTTTACTCTCGTGTATTCCAAGGAATTATCTTATAAATGATTTAACAAGTTTTCTCTAGAATTGAGAACAATTTTCTATAAGTGTGTTCAGAAGAAATCTCCATTAATCTTTAATTAATTTTCAAAATATAACTTTTTGAAAATTTTATTCTTTTCATTGAACGAACATCTTTACAATCTCCATTTCGGAAAACATGTTCCGTAAACTCAGAATTCCGTAATGGTATCCAAAACTATACCCCCCCCCCTCCTCCTCCCCCTTTAGAAAGGAAAATTTTCAGAATTTTTTCCGTTTTACGTAATGTGGACAACCGGAACTCTTATGGTTTCCATTTCGGTCGGACATAAACTGGAATTCCTGTTTCCGGTTGTACCTGCAGGAGGTGGGGTTGTCTTCAGGTCTTTCGTGGTCAAAATTTAGCACTGTGTAAGAAGAGCAAATGTATTTTTAATTGTTTAAGCTTTAACAATATGTCATTATAACACGGTTTTATTTTTTATACACTATCTCAAATTTTGACCCTGGCACAAGTTGTATGCAAAAATCTAACAAAAAACGATCCACAAACGATGCGAAAACGAACACGTCGTGACATTCGTTTTCGGATCGTTTTTGCACTTTTTTTAGGTTAAAAATCTAGCTAAGTTTAATAAAAGCAAACTTAAACAGCTTGAACAGCTCTAAAAACTTGGAAGTTATATAGTTTAAGAACGTATAGTTTCCGGCCACATTGCCAGTTTAAATTCCTTCCGGAACAGAAAAAAAAAATTTTTTCAGGTTTTTCGGAATCCAGTTGCTTGCTGACGAGCCTGCAGGTTGGTTCCCTTCTGCTGAACTCCGAGACGATAATAACATCGGAGTACACAAGGTTGGTCTTTAAAGGACTGTGCTCTAATTAGGACAAATGAGATTTTTCGGGCCCTTTTATCATTGTAAAAAACATGTAAATATTATGTAAAAAAAAAATTTTCTTCAAAAAAAATATTGACTCAACGATCTAATAAAACCATAAAAGTTTTTCTTGAACGAAATCACAGAAATCTACAAAAATGTTGCCATTCAATAATTAGTACAGATTGCAACCGAATTTTTTTTTTCTTTATTTTCACAAACATTCTTTAAACATCAAAAAGTAAAATTTGTTTAATCATATTCTTTTTAATTGTAGTTTTCAACATCTTGCTGTTTTTTCTAAAAAGAATAGATTTTTTAGCAGAATAGAATAATTTTCCTTTTTTCAGGCGACCAAATTTGAACGGCTTGTGTTTGGGTTCAGGGATGATGAGACTGAAGGAATCTGTTTTAAAACCAGCACTGCTCCTTTAACAAATACAACATCAAATTGTGGAGATAAAACCAGCCCCCAGGAGCCGGGAGAGAACAAAAAAACTGGAGAAGACGAGAAAAGGGTTGTCTCTGTTCTGAAGAAGGAACAACCAAAGGAAACTAAAGATACTAAGAATGTAGATTTAGAAAACAAAGAACCGGGGAAAAATAAACCCTCTGTCAAAACAGAAGAAGACGCTCCAGGGGCGAAAAATGAAAGTTTAGAAGACGCGAAGAATGAAAATAAGAATGTGAGAAAAGGTTCTCTTTAGAAATCTGTTAGGAGGCACATAAAGTGGTCCAAAAATTACCAAAGGTTTGTGATATATTATATATATATGGCTTATCCAACTTTGATATTCAATGGGGGCGGGGGTGGGGTGGAATAATTTTTTTGTAAACATTTTACATTAGTATTTATGACAAGGAAAAGATTTTGTATTATTAATTATGAATCAGAATCACAAAAATCGTATTAAAAAGTTTCAAGGTTTGCTTATCCTCCCTTAGAGAAGATAAATAAGTAAGATTAATATTCTCTACATCTCTTATCAGAACATGTCTTATAGATGAAGTTAGCAAAGTTTTATACCCTGGGACTATGTTTGTTAATCTATGAACTCGAGGGTGGGATGGCAAATATTCAATCTAGAATACGAGGGTGGGATGGCTAACATATAATATAAAACACGAGGGTTGGATGGCAAATTTTATTGTAGAAAGTAAGAGTGGCCTTAGATAGGAGCACATTCAGCTTTTTCATTTTGTTCGTTCATCGTTCATGAGAAACCTATTTTTTTTAAATAAAAAATATTGATTCAGTTCATTCTCAAAATTATTGTTCATTTTCCATCTATTTCGTTCGTTTTCTCACTGACCGATCGTTCGGTAAAATCGTTCGATCAATAAAATAGTTTCCTCAGTAAAAAAGCGATCCTTTTTTTAAAAGTTGGTTCGTAGAACCTTTCCTTCAGTAAAAAGAAATATCAGTTTTTATAAAGTTTGTTCCAAAAAATCTTCGTTCGTAAAAAAACACTATATTTATAGAGAATAAGAAAAAGAATGAGAAAGAGAATAAGAAAAATAATATGAAAGAGAATGAGGAAAATATTGAAAAAGAGAACGATAAAAAGAATGAAAAAGAGAATAAGAAAATTAATAAGAAAGAGAATAAGAAAGAGAAGGAAAAAATAATGAGAAAGAGAATGAGGAAAATATTGAAAAAGAGAACGAGAAAAAGAATGAAAAAGAGAATAAGAAAATTAATAAGAAAGAGAATAAGAAAAAGAATAAGAAAGAGAAGGAAAAAATAATGAGAAAGAGAATGAGAAAAAGGATAAGAAAAATGATAGGAAAAAGAATGAGAAAGAGAATAAAAAATAATGAGAAAGAGAATGAGATAGAGCATAAGAAAAATAATGAGAAAGAGAATGAGAAAGAGAATGAGAAAGAAAATGAGAAAGAGAAAGAGAATGAGAAAGAGAAAGAGAATGAGAAAGAGAATGAGAAAGAGAATGAGTAGCTGCCCGAGGTTTAGGTGTAGTTGCATATGGTTAAGATGTAGCTGCCCAAAATTTAGGTGTAGCTGCCCGAGGTTTAGGTGTAGTTGCCTATGGTTAAGATGTAGCTGCCCGAAGCTTAGGTGTAGCTGCCCGAAGCTTAGGTGTAGCTGCCCGAGGTTTAGGTGTAGTTGCCTAAGGTTAAGATGTAGCTGCCCGAAGCTTAGGTGTAGCTGCCTAAGGTTAAGATGTAGCTGCCCGAAGCTTAGGTGTAGCTGCCTAAGGTTAAGATGTAGCTGCCCAAAGTTTAGGTGTAGCTGCCCCAAAATCTATGTTTTGCGGTTGAATTTAAGCAGGTAAATTAACAATATTTACAACAGAGTGGTTCTTCAAATTTCAAACATAAAAACATTTATCGAAAATATTCGAGAAAAAAATCCTGCACTTTGAGTAAAAAATGCAGATGGACATGTAGAATACTAGGCTAGACATCCTGTAAGATAAAACTTGGACAAAAATGGGTTTTATGGTAATCTGTAGTTGCTGTTAAATGTTAGTTATTCACTGAAGGTTGTGTTATTGAAAATATGGAGTTAAAACAGTTTAACAATTTAACAAAAAAATGGAAGATCTCTTATATTTTTTAACCTTACTTTATAACGAAGTAAAATGCTGTTTTTAATTAAATCAAAGTTTTGCATACAAGTTAATATTAATATTTCATTCTGAAAACATGTAATTTGTCTTGAAATATTTGTAGTTGATTTTTTTTGCTTTTTACTTAATGTTAAAAGTTTAAATATTTGTTTGAAATTGGTGTAAATTGGTTATGCTGGATTACTTGTTAAGTTTGCACAAAAATTTTAAATTTTAATATTACTAATTTATGATTATTATTCGATTTGTTGTCGAAGCATTATTTATATTATAGTTTTCAAATTTTTTATTATAGTTGTTAAATTCGTTAAATCTTTTTATTCTTTGTTAATCATAAAACTTCAAGCTTAATGTTAATCATAAGTTTGTAGTAGACTGTTTGATTAAGGTCAGCATTCAGCATCCTTAAGTTTTATCTTATATTTCAAGTATGTAATGTAACCCTGTAAATTAGATGAAATGCACCAATTCTTTTGTAATGTAACCCTGTAAACCAATTCTTTTGCCAAAAAAACCTTTCAATAATATTCATCTGTTAACTAAGTTTAGTTTATTTAGTTTAAAACGAATAAGTTCTAAAAAAGGCCAGAATATTAGGCCTTTAGTTACCTGTTAAATTAGAAAAAAAAATTTCTTTCAAAAAATTCGCTTTTAAAAATTTGATTTTTGTCACAAGAATGATAATCTAAAATTGCTTTCAACTTTTTGTCTACCTTACAAATAAAACCCCACAAAAAGTAATTCTACATTTAACAGTGATAATTGATGATATTTGAAAAAAAAATTTTAAAGTATTTTTTATGAATGTTAAATTAATATCTACAGTTCATAATATTGTATTTTTGTAGAACTTTAATTAAAAGTTAAGAAAATTTAGTTTTTGGAAATCAAACCCCCACAAAATAGCCAAGAACCGTTTCGATCCTGTTAAATGCCATTATTGAAACTTATCAAACAAAAATCAATTTTACAATTCTTTAAATAAAAAACTATGTTGCCCTTTAAAGCTAAAAAGTCGCAATTACTTTTTTACACAAAATACGCAAAAGGGGATTTATAGCTTAAATCTAACAGTTCCAAATGATAATACAGATGACAAGTGAGTTTGTCATGGGTAAAAAAAGGTGAAAAAAGTTTTCAAAATTTTTATGAAATATTTAATGTAAAAATACTCTCGACAAAGTAGAAAGACTTATTCTTTTTTGTTAAGTTTTCTGAACATAATGTTTTCACAGTTCCTTACAAGTACACTTACCTAACTCCTTGTAATTTATGTACAATGTTTTGCGTTAAATATGCTTAAATGTAAAATGTAAAAAATAAAGGATAAAGAAAAAAACAAACAAAACCAACAGAAAAATAAAATGAGGAAAATTTTGGTTCAAGGAAACTTTTGTTTTCACAAATTAGGAACGAAAATTTGTTCGATCATCTGTTGATATTACTTTTTTTTAACATTTTCAAAATCTACGTGATATTTCTAACGATATATTTATATAGATATTCTATCTAATTACTTTTTTCAAAAATTATTGTTTACACAGGGTGTCCCAATAAACATGGGAATTCAGTGACGAATTCGATATCGTCTTTTAAATAATTCTTTGATTTAGTATAGTGATACCTCCTGAGAAAGCTGTAATCTGTAGGAGTTTCGTCTGCTATGTTCACATTTTGTTTAATTGTTTATGTTTTGACTGCATGCATACGGTTGAAAATTGCAATATACAATCAGAGTAAACTTGTCCGTCTTCACTGTTCATCTTGCGTAGACATTATAAACACATCTTTGCAGTCTTTTACCCTTTTCATAATTACAGGGTGTCCCACATCATATTAGACCGAGAACGGGTCTAAATTACGATTTTCGGGACTAATTAGAAAATTTCATTAGAATGAATCATTTTGAAAAATAACATAGGCTTATATAAGAATTTTCTTGCGGAAAATGATAAGTTTTTTGAGTATTAAGGTTTTTTTTTGTGTTAAAGATTGGAGATAATCTAATATGATATGGGACGCTCTGTATATTATTGGTTTGAAATTAGGTATTACAATGCTAATTCATAACAAAGACGATATTCAATTTGTCACTGAATTCCTATGTTTTTTTTGGGACACCCTAAGCGTCAGAAAGAAGATTTGAAAATGCCTAAAACTTTGATGAGAGACTTAGTGTCTAAACGAGCGTTTTTAACCAACCCTGTATTTTAACAAAAAGGCGTTTTTTCTCCTCACCCGATTTCTTGCTTTAAAGAAAAATTAATATAATATTAAAGTTACATTAAAACTTTTTGAGTCAGACTCAGAAGAACGACGGTGTCTTCCACTTTTTTGATCATTTAAAGGTTGCAAGAGTACCATTGTAAATCGGGCATTGCCATCTTGCATGGAGAGTCAATTGAAATTATGCATTACAGACCCTTTTATTGGAAATATAAGCTGTCTATTTTCCCACGTGATTAATATTTCCCTGTGGAACCTTATTATCCAAGTCTCCTGTGTCAAAGAATCTAATAAAAACTCAATTATTTTTAACAATGCTGGGACAAGGTTTAAAATCAAATTCAATATACAGGGTGTCCCACGAAACGTGACAGTTGGTGAATTGTTTAAAATGTCTTCTTCCATAATTTGTTAACTTGTTTGATACTAAAGATACTAATAAAGAATATTTTATGGCAGTCATATTATGTTAAAATTGATTTCAAAGTAATTTATATTTGAGTAATAAAATAATTTAAAAAAAATAAACTGAAAAAGACTGTAATGTCTAATAAAGTGTTTGGAAGAAGACATTTGAAACTGTCCTCCGACAGCGACATTGCTGGAAGGACATTGTGACCTGTATAGCTTGACGTGTTATAAATTGGAAGTTGAATATTAGAAAATGTACAGAAGGTTATTTTCAAAATTAGCCGAAGTATGATTGAAGGATGGACCAACAAGAAAAAAATGAAGAACAAGAAATATAGAAATCTCAAATATTTCCATCTGATATCATATGAATATTTAAAAATATTATAAATTTAAATTAAATAAATTATTAAAGTTAAAAGAAAATTTACAGAAGGTCCCAGAGAACTTTGGAAAAGGATTATGACCATGCATATAACTCCTGTATGCCGGTCCATTAGCGCCTGATCCAATCAGGTTTCAGTCATGTGTTTGTTGTCTA